TCTATACCACACACCACACTGAAAGTAACTATCCACTTTTTCCACACCTAAGTTCTTCAAAACACAAAGTCATGTAACAGTTCACTATGGATCATGTTCTGCCAATGACACACTTCTTGAGCGCTATAATTTCCATCATCTTACAGCATCCTAACAGTTGTACCAAATTTTATTCTATGTACAAGACAGGAAAACCAAGGATCCAGCAAACAGTTTAACTTGCCCAAGTTGGTGTATTCTCAAAACCACTTCTGACTGTCAGGCCAACTCTCCCAACCAAATGATAGGACATGAGTACAAATAATTCTTAATCCTTAAGGAATTAAGGGCAGGCAAGCCTTCACCTTCTGCAATTTCATCGGTTTAACACTGCCAGGTACCCAAACATTTGACTTTATAGGAAATCTTTTGATCAGCTTTTATCCTAGATACTCAGATCTATTTTCACAGTTCTTGTTGGCATTATTAGTGTAGGAAGTGCACACCAATAACAATGATCTGCATAGTCCAAACCATCTAGAACACTCGGAAGTGTTAAAAAAAAAAAAAAAAAAAAAAAGCTCAGGAAGTTACTGCCTAGGGTGAAGCTGCAATAATGGTTCAAAGTGACAACACCCCGCCCCCTTTCCACACTCTCTTTCCCTCACAACAGGAGAAAGGATTTGAGAAAACAAATCATCAGCATCTGATGGCTTCACCCTACTCCCATTCATCCATCTGCTCAACAGACTTCACTGCAGGTGCCTTCCTTGGAAGTAACTGAAAGGGAATATCACCTTGCAGTGGCAATCAACCTCAATACTAAAACTTGACCTTCCTCGTCCCTTTTACAGATAATTACATTTGGAGTATATGTACATTGCAAGGATAGGTTGTATTGTCCCCCTGGCTTGGAAAAATCTAAACTTTCCAACCAAAGAACGTCAAGTTGGCCTGGAACAGAAAAACTACGGAGTAGAACTGTGGAACAAATCCATCTTTAACTGCATGCCAGAAGGAGAGATGACTATAGCACAGATGCTAGAAAAATTGACATCTAAAAGCAAACACCAAATGTTCCCCTTTTTGGTGACTACTGAAAATTGTCTACCAATCTGGAATAGTTTGAAACTTGCACTTACCAGAATTGGTAGTTTGCTTGTTTTGCATTGTTAAGATACAGCGCTTTTTTTCCTCCCGTTGCAATTCTAGGCCTAAATACAATAGGCGACATGTGGAGCAGGTTCAAATCCCAGAGTGGCTATTTAATAACTGTATGGGTTCAGGCACTTTAGGTAATCATTTACACACCCCTAATGTTGCTGATGGCTATAGTTACTGCAAGGAATAAGGGACAATTTGTAAGCACAGCGCCTACTCCGAGCAGGTACTCCAAAATATCTACTCCTTAAAAATGACTATTTTCAACCTCTGGCTGAGAGGAAAAGGAAATAGGGTCAAACTAATCAGATGCTGAAAGCAAGTCATGATATCAAATCTAGGATAATATTGCCTTAAACCATTATTTCCTAATCTGTCTTGTCTATTCTATTTGCAGTGCTGCCTCATACCTGATACCGCAGAGATACAGTGGCAAAGACAAAAAGACTTAAGTGTATTCTTATTCCTAAAGATCAAAGAATTCTTGGAACAGCTCCTCAACAAATGCATCTGAAAACTTAAATTTTAAGCTGGCCAGAAATTAGTGACTATTACGGAATGTCTGAGGCACAAAAGAAGATATTCTTTGACAATGAACCTCAGCTGTTCACAAAACCCATACAATGACTCTGAAAAACCACAGAATAAAGACAACTGGAGTATTTGTATATATTAACTCCAAAGTTAAACAATGTTGAAGAAATACTATGGAGACCCATATATTTAATCACAAATTGTAGAACTCCCCACAAAATACAGGCTTATGGTATACCTATGTCAGATATATCCTAGAACAACCAAGATTAAAATGGATGGCTTTTTAGTTTGAGGAAAAAGAAAAAAAAATTTAAATCCCACAAGCATACACATACACAAAGGTAGATACGAGGGAAAATGTTTAAATGCATTCAGTGAGCCAGGCATCTTTGCCCTTAAAGTCCTAAAAGTCTCTGTATTATGATGCTCAAGGCAGGTGCAAGGTGAGAGACTACTCGGCAGAAGGAAACTATTAAGATTTGCATGCAATCGAATGTCATAACACATGTCCAGTAGCTCATTTTCTTCTAGTAAAAACAAAAGCTATTCCTCTTATAAGTTATCCCTCCAAGGATATTAACTAGAGGGTCTCCCATTCTGTCCTCTTCACACAAACCCTCTAGCTTTACAGATGTGTACCATTTAACCTATAAAGGCTGGGAAGGGGGGAGGGGAGGCAAGCAGTCACTGAGTTTTGATCCCTCCCAAGGCCTTCCAAAACAAGATGGAGTTCCATCGCTTTGTTGACTCCTCCCCAAGGCTTTAAATATTAGAGCTGCAGTCTGTGAGGAATTGTTTTCCTAGCCTGAAACAGCTCGTTAATTATTGATGTAAGCCATACTTACAAAGAGGTGCTTGTACACTCTTCTGCACGGCACTGCCATCTAGTTCTCCCTCCAAAACACACACGTGGTCTTTACTACGTAGCAACATAAAATCAGTGGCAATAATGACAACACAATTCCCACTATTTAAGGGTAGTGGATTCTGCCATGTATACTTGGAAATCTGCCCCTGAAAACTGTCCTTCCAGGATTGCGTGGTTTGGACTGATTTCTTAGACAATTCATGAAGAAAAGCAAAGTTGAGAGCATCACATATACACTTTCAACAAAAAAAACTGATCACAAAATAAATCCCACTTGAATACCTCTATCAGCCAGTGGGGATATTCAGGAAGGTGTCCTTTCAATTCCTCCCTTAGATTGCCCAAGAGCCAGTGGGGCTCACTTGAAAAGTAAACACTACTTCACTGGTTGCAAAGGCATCTTACCCAGACAGTCCCAGAGCCGAGACTATTTCAAAAGCTTTCTATTCTGGAAAAGTCGGCCTGACTTTATTGTTTTGTTGTTTTTGCTTTCTGGTAGAGAGGCTTAGAATGCTGCAAACAACTTTTCACAAAGGACTGCATCCAGGAACTGTGTATGACACACAGGAGAGTAAGAGCAGCTACAACCAGCAACACCCCCAAGGAGCCTGTGGTGTTCACCCATAGTGGTCAACATCCTAAATTAGCCAACTGCTGGACTTCACAGCAACACTACCCCAACCAACCATGTTAATGACGAGACACTATTTTTCTAAAGATTAATTCACCCCATGTGTTATTAATCAGCAGGGTAACTGAAAGCTCATGTTTAGAAAGAAAAAGAAAACAAAAGAAAACGCTAGCCCAGTTGAGCAGAACTTAATTGCATTATTGTTTTTATTATGGCTGCTACGCTGGTTTCCCTGGGTCCTTGGCTCCTCCACCACAAATATCCAGACACAGAAGCACACATAGATGGGAAAACAGAAAACCAAGGGTCAGGAAGAAGAGCATTTTGAAGAGAAACGTTTGTCTCTGCAAAGACGGGTCAAGTATGCATCCAGGCTGCCTTGAGAAGTAATTAAGCCTTCACTCGTTTCATTTCAGACCGTCCCAACTTGCACCAGGGTGAGCAGCTGCGGGAGATCACGGAGGCTGCGGTGCCAGACAGACAACCCCATCCATCTCTCCGCCGGCCGCGCCGTTTCCAGGTGGCCTGTTCTACCAGCACAAAGCTAACCTCCCTTTCAGAGTATTATGCTCCGGGACTAGAGCAGCCCGTCCAAAGCCACGTCAACGGTCCCGCGTAGAGACCTCAGAGAACCGGCTTTTCACCTTAAGTCTTTAGGTTAGAAGCCAAAGAGTCCCGCAGGCAATTACGGTCGCTGACGGCCTCCACCCCAAGTCCCTGCGGCTAGTAGGGTAGGAGCAGAACCGGCGGGGAAAAGGGAAAAAGAGACGCGGTAGTGTGAGCAAGAGGGATGGGGCTCCTATCCCTTTAGAGACTAGGCCAGTGACACTGTGAGACTAAGGATGAAAAGCAGCGGCACAGCCCGGGTCTGGGGAAAGAGGGAAGCCGCCAAGCTCTCTTGTAGCTCGAGGCACCACGGGCTCTGGCCGGGAGGGGCCCAGAAACTCAGAAACCCAGTGGGAACGGCCGGACGGGGAAGGGGGGGTTCTTCCGAGAGTAGGATGTGAGGAGGAACGCGGGAGGCAGTGGGAGACTTCTCTGGTTGTGCTGGGGGAGAGGCAGAGAGGGGTCGCCCGTGCAGTCAGGACAGCTCGCAACACGTCCCCGCAAAACTGCACATTTTTGTGGTTTCAAATTGAAGACCAAGGAGAAGATGCCAAGGTTCAACCCCCTGCCTGGGGCGCTTTCCCCCCGCCCCCCAGCCTAGGTTTCGGAGTCCCCCTCCTCGCTTAGGGACCTGGGCTGTGCCCAGCTGTCGGCCTCCTCTATTCCTTTCGGGGACGCCCCCCACGCCCAAGCGCGACGTCCGCCCTCCCAGTTCGTGTCGGCTCCCCGCCCTGCGCGGCGACCGCGGCCGGCCGGCCACCTGCGCCCATCTGCCCCGGACCCGGCAGGCCCCGGCTGGGGCGCCCGAGGGAAGTTCCGCGGGCTCTCCCAATCCGGGGAAGGATTTTTTTTCTTTTCTTTTCTTTTCTAAACAAACAAATAAATAAACCTTAGCGGCTTGCACCCGCCTTCCCTTCACGCCCACGCAGCACCTCCCCTGCACACGCGCCGCGAGGTGCCTCTCCCGCCAGACAATGGGTTCGGAGCCGGCCGGGCTGGTTCGCTCGGAGCCCCCGGCCCCATTCCCCGGGACCCTGAAGAGGAGTGTGTGTGAGCGTGAGGGATTCCGGGTGCGGGGGAAGCGAGGTGAGGGAGGCCACAAAGGGGAGGGTGGGCGCCTCCCCACCCCGTGAGGCCAGGAGGTCACACGGGGCACGGGGAGCCGGGGAGGGGTGGAGGTCAGGCGCGCTGCCCCACGCCCGGTCGCCGCACACTCACCAGCACGATGGCAAACCGCTCCTCCAGTTCCCCCGGCTCGGGCATCGGCAGCTTCAAAGGCACGTTGTGCGCCCTGAAATCGGTCTGCTGTGAATCCATGCTCCCGGCGTTGCCCATGTCGGCCGGGGCCGGGGTCGCCACCGGCCCCTCGCGTGCGCGTCGGCGATCAGAACAGCTCCCGGCGGTCGGCTCCCCCACGCCCTCCGCTTCGCCCCGGAGAGTGTGCAGCGCACGCCGCTCCCTAGCAGCGCCCGGAGCTCAGCCGCCCGCCGGCCTCCCTCATGCTCTCCGCCGCCCCGGAGCAGCCCCGGCCTCTTTTCCTCGGAAAGGGTCGTCAGGGCGCCGGGCGCCCCCGTGCATGGTGCTCCGCCGGCACACCGGCCCCTGCCAGCTCTCGCGGCCAGCGGGCGCGCGCGCTGTGGTTCCTCGGCCTCCCACCGGAGCGGCCGGCCACTGCTGCCGCTGACACTCGCAGCCCACCCCCCGGCCGGCGCCCAGCGACCCGCAGCGCCCGCTCGCCCGGCACCTGGAGCAGGACAAACGCCGCTCGGCGCTCGCCTACACAATACCCCCTCGCGGCCCCCGCCCCCGGCCCGCTCCGCCCACCGCCCCGCGGCCTGCCGGGACGCGTAGTTCCCGCCGCCGGTGTCCGCGCGCGCAAAGCCACGCCCTCCCGGCGCGGCCGGCCGGGCAGCACCGCGTGCGCGCGGGCCAGGTGCGCCTCAGCGGCCCCGCTCCCGACGCCTGCGGCCCTTTCCACCCGGCTCTGTACCGCAACTGACGCGTGGGCACGCATTACAGATGAAGGAATGAATGAAACGGATCAGTGAGTCCATGCATGGATGCTGACCCCTACAGTCCCACCCAGGTCCTCTCCACAAGCCGGGAGCCGGGGTGGATCCAGGGGCGCTTGCCTTATTGTTCTTTCTTCCATATTCATGGTATGTGTTCTTTGATGTACCTGAAATGTTGGGTAAAATATGATACACTGGTATATGCTCACACTCTTCAGAGCTGGGTGAGGATTTAGTTCATTCCTGAACAAAGCACCTGTCCAAGTGCCTGTCTCTTACTGTTCCTTGAGGGAAGTTGGAGGAGAGGAGAGGGGGGCTGCCTCTGGCCCGGATTACTTTCTAGGCAAAAGCAGAAAATGTATGCTTATGTTTCATGTGAACATGTTTCGTGCTGTTATGTTGACAGCATATTAGAGGGGGGATCTTTGGGGATGAACTTAGGCGGAAGTTTGCTTGTGTCCCAGAGAACACAGCTTGGCCCCGTGGTCTTGGTTGTGTTTGAAATAGTAACTATCATTCAAAACGATGGAAACAGAAACAGTCTCCCAAGTGACTTTAGCGAACTGCTCGTGTTGTCCGGTTCAAAGGCATCCTGTGGTTGACTTGTGGCTGTGCTCGTGTATCCGTGTATCGTGTTTCTGAATCCTGACTGTGTACCCAATTCATTTGGGGACTTTTTTTTGGTGAAAACGACACACACCTGGGGTTTTGCCTGTTACCAGAATCTTTGAAGAGCTGAAACCCAGGCAGGTGTATTTTTAACAAGCTCCCCAGGTGATCCAGATAGACAGCTAAGGGTATCCTCCTCTTGTTACAAAGCAGGGTAAATCATTCAATTATCAAGGACCACACTGCATCTGGCTTTATACATCCGAAAACATTGGGAGCCTCATAGATGCTGAGGGACTATTTGTTGAATAGTGACTTGTATCCAGACTGTATGGAGCAAAAACATTGTGTGTGTGTGTGTGTGTGTGTGTAGTATTACAAGAAATGTCTTCTTTTAAAGAAATGAGAGAATATAAATGAACTAAACTTGAAACTTCTGAGTAAATCAGTAATTATACCATGGAAGTTAGTGGCTTTGTGTTGCTGCCCAAAGAGAGAAAAACAAAGCCAATGAACGTGAGAAAGAATGCCTCTAGGGCAGCCCAGGTAAAACATTTCTGACCCCAAAAAATAGATTTTGTTTATTTGTTCTCCCTTAAACAGATACTTGGGTCTCACTGACTCTCAAATTCAGCCCACCCAGAGCAACGCTGGGCTGGATTAGAAAGGCTGGAATTCTTTCGTGCAGCTGAGAAAGCCTTTTTAAATTGTATTTATGGCTCCCTCCGGCCGTGCTTCTGCCAGTAATTAAGACCTTTTCCTCTCCTTAAGTCTTATCACATCTAGCCTCTCTCAGAATCTCCCATTTGACAAAGGCCAAGGACAAAGTGTGCAAAGCTAGGAACCAAAAGAACTTTTCTGCTATCTGTAGATCTGTGCTCTCTAATAGTTGGATATTATTTATGGTCGTTCATGAGAACAGAAATAATCAAACCTTCCATAGAATTCTAGAACTTTCCATACAAATTTCCAGCAAGTGTCAGGAAACTTTGTTTTGTGTTTTGTCATTTTTCCTCCAGCCAAGCAAAATTAAACTCAGGCAGTCGTTTTAAAATCTATATTTAAATTTTCTGATCCCTAATGCATATGACTTGCTTTGACTTATATTGTAAGTTGTTAGAAAAAAAAAACTGAAAGCATCTATTCATCTTCTCTGAAAGCTGAAATGTTAGAATGTTTATCCTTCAATTTGCCAAGCATTTGCTAGCTGTGTCAAGATGACTTGGTCAGGAATTCCGCCATAATGGTGGTAATAGCTCTCAAGTAAGCTTTTCTATCATCCGTAACAAATGCATCTACAAGATGAGCCTTTGAAAGCCTGGAGCTGAGTTCTCCTGGAGTCTCCTAGGATTTATGTGGAAGGAACCATTCTGCTGCTAAGCACTTAGTATCCTTCAGGGCTACAATATAACCCTAAGATTGTGATTGTCTAGAATTCAGGAAAGCAATGCAATGGCCATTGCTAGCCCTGAATCTAAATTGCAAAGTGGTCAGTAGATGGAATTTTTAAGGGATTGCTACTTGTCAAATTGTATCTGCAGCAGTCCAGCAAGATTCACATATCTGTTTACGTTTATGTGAAATGTATTTTTGACAACTTATAAGTTACTTTCCTGGGTCTTAAATAGTTTTCATTAATTACTGCTTTGTGCAGTCTTCTTCAATCTATTAAATTGCAGATAAAGATACACATTGTTCTCCAGGTCTTGTCCTTCAGCATCAGTTATGAATGTTTTTAATTTATTTAATTATTTTATGACACAGTTCCATAGGCTCCGAGGTTTTTCTTCCCCCCCTTCCAATTCTCCACCCTCCCTACAGATTACCCCTATATCATTACAAGAGTATAGTCCTTTGCAAACAGTCAAAAGTCCACCATTCTGCTATTTTAGTATATCCTGTCATTGTAGTTACAGACAACAACAGAAAGTCCAGCATTTGATTGTCAAAATATATTTAACAGTTTCATTGGGAATCCATCTTTGATTTGGAAGTAGAGATGCGCACTGCATTGTATCTTCACTGAAAATTATAGTCTCTATTACACAATTACTATATATTCCCTTAAATGAAAAGCCATAAAACAAAATCAACAACAGAAAGAAGAAAATAAAAAATTTACAACATGAAGTTAAATAACATGCTACTGAATAACCAATATGTTGCTGAAGAAATGGGAAAGAAATTGAAAAACTTTTAATTTTTTAATTAATTAATTTATTATTCCATGGTACAATTCCATAGGCTCTGGAATAGCCCTTCTTCACTCCCCAAAAATCCTGTCCCCCCACTGATTTCTCCCATGCAATTATAATAGTATAGTCCTTCGGGCCACACTTAAATAACAGACTGATAGAATTATAACTCCGTATGAAGGACTATACTATTATAACAATGTGGGGAAAATTTGTTGGGGGTGGAATTTTGGGGGGGGTGTAGAAATCCCAGACTCTACAGAATTATATGATAAAATTCAAATTTAAAAGTAAAATTTTAAAAAATAAAAGCAATGTTACAGTCTTTAACACTCAGTCATAAATCCATCATTCTGTTCTTTAAGTGTATCTTGACATTGCAGGCATGGACAATGGCAGAGAGTCCAGCATGCTAGTGTCAAGATACATTCAATATTTCACTGGGAGTCCATCTTTGATTTGGAAGTAGAAATGCATACTGCCTTGTATCTTCACATCTCTATGTGATAGTCTGTACTACACAATTATTATGCATTCTCATGAATGAAAATCCATAAAACAAAATTTCAACAGAGAAAAAGAAAATTTACAACAACACGAAGTTACATAACATGCTACTGATTGACCAATGTGTCGCTGAAGAAGTGCAAGGGGAATTCAAAAACCTTCCTAAGGCAAATGATGCTATCATATAACTTACAAACCAGTGAGGAAATTAATAAGAAAAACAAAAACTTTGTTTTGAATGAATAAAAATAAAAAATATCAAGTCCCTGAGATGTAACAAAAACAATATCAAAAGGGCTATTGATCTTGCATTTTGCATGAGGGTTGCTTTATATCACAGAGAACATATGATATTTGTCCTTTTGGGATTGACTTATTTCACTGAGCATATTGATTTGTAGTTGGGACTGTTTGGTTGCAAATGGTAGAATTTCATTCTTTTTAGTGGCTGAGTAATATTCCATGGAGTAGATGTACCTCAGTTTCTTTAACCACTCCTCTTTTGACAGAATCTGGGTTATTCCCATGTCTTTGCTGTTGTAGATTGTGCTGCTATAAATATAGGATTATATTTCAGATCCATTTCTCATATGCAGATTTCATTTTCTTTAAATATATTCCTAGTAGCAGCATTTCTGGGTCATATGGCAGGTCAATTTTCAGTTCTCTTAGCATACTCCATTCCTAATTCTATGGTAGTTGTACTAGCCTACATTCCCACCAACAGTAAAGGTAGGTACCTTTTTCCTCACATTCACCCCAGCAGCTGTTGGTAGAGTTCTGAATGCCAGCCAACCTAATTGGAGTTAGGAGGAACCTCAATGATAGGTAGGGAGCCTTTTTTCATGTGTCTATTAACCATTTGAATTTGTTCTTTCGAAATATGTCTGTTCATTTCCTTCATCCAGTTCTTCACAGGGTTTTTTGTTTTGCTTTTGTTCAGTTTCTGATACCCTTTATAAATCCTGGATATTAGTCCCATATCAGTTGTGTAGTATAGTTTATTTTGGCTTTGACTGGCTGTGCTTTTGGTGTCTTTTCACATTCCAATATCTTGGAGAGTGTCTCTTCCCATTCCTGTATCTTAGAGACTGCTTCCTACTTTCCCTCTAAGAGCTTGATGGTTTCTGGATGAAGACTTAAGTCCTTGATCCATTTAGAGCTGACAGATAGAGGT